GGGCTGCCGGAGCGGGCTGGGCTCCCGCGTTGTGTAACCCGCGAAGCCGTCTCCGCTCTTTCCTCCTACTGTAATGTTTCCGATTTCTCCCCCGTGAGTCTCCGCACCTCCGACCCACCCCCGTTTTTCTCTTCCAGTGAAAGAGGAGGCCTCCCACAGCGGCGGATTCTTCCTTTTCATCTGCTCGTGCACCCTCCAGGTCAGACTGCAATGAGTGGACTGAGGTCTCCTGGGCTGCTGGGGCTGGTGCTCTTAATGCTCTCAGCAGGATATTGCAAAGAGAAAACTGACTCCGCAGATTCGAAGGACAGGCAAAGTCTCTTGAATCTGATCATGGAGATCATTCAGGAACTGAAAAGGTACCACCTGGAGAAGGACAGTGGGGTGCAGTTCTTCTCCAAGCACGACTATAACTTAGATCGAAGGGAAGTGGCCGACTACGGAGGATACCAGGATGAGCAGAGAGTTGGTAAGTCACAGTCCATGACTTAGGAGGTGTGGTTTTTTTCTATGGGGTTCCTTGGTGAATCAGACATCACATCACGTTACTAATTTTAAATCAAGAATGCGCCGCTCAAAATACCTGAAGATTCCCTTTGGTATCAGAAACTGACACAGACGGCAAATTTGGAATAGAAAAACTCCATTCATGTCTCAGAGCCTCTTATTCTCTGGATAATGCACTCGACTGAAAGTCCAGCTTCCTGTACGTTGGCTTTGAATAAAACCTGTTAATAAGGGAAAAGACTGAAATGGGCTGAGATCAATATAGGGGATGAAATAAGGGATGAAAATGCTCTTTTTCCTGGAAGTTTACCACTTTCTAAAATGTCCTTGGTTTAAGTGCTGCTTGGAATTGACCCTAGCAAGAATTCCCCTGCAGGACTACAGTATGTCCTTATAGATCTCCCATCTAGAAGTCTTTCCGGCAGCTCAGCTTCACTAGCTAAACTCTTCGCCCTACTTGTTAGTCCCTCTTGTACTCTGGAGGCAGCATCTTTGAAATGCTAGGGAACCAAAACAGAGTACTCTGCCTCTGTACGAGCTACGACTACTTTGGGACACCCCTGCAGTCCTCCTCCTGCTCATTTGAGTGGCTCTTCTCCAACCTCCAGTGAAAGCCCAGGCTGTTTTGTAAGACGTTCAGGGTTGTATAGAGCAGTCAGGAAGCAGTCGTACCAAGCCACATAGTGATGGAGAGTTACTGCTCAGTTTTGTGATGCACTTCTGTGCATCCAGATGAAAGTTGACTTGGCTTCTCCTGCTGCCGAGTCTGATTTACTGTTCACTGTCACTCCCGAACCTTTAACAGCATTACTGCTGCTCATCTTACCCCTCCTACTGAAAGTGACTTTCTGAGTATTTTCCAGCAGATGTCTACTCACCTTTTTCCAAACTGGCTTTAATTTTGCTAGTATGCTATTTATTTTGCCTTTATTGATCTCTTAAAGCGTCACTGTAACCTTTTCTTCATTCTCATTCATATTCAAATATCATCATGATTTGCATTTGTTGGTGGTTGTCATGAAAATGTTACTTCTCCATCTGGATGATTAATGAATATACAAAGGAAGACAATTTTCTTCCGCTTAAGAACAGCATAGTGAGAACATTTTGTTTTATAAATGCTGAAAAGCTAAGGAGGCCAAACTAAGCAGGGAATGCTGATCTGCATGACTCTCAATCTCAGCACGGAACACGGGCATAGTTTTTGGCCACCATACATCAGCATACTGGTGCAAAACGTCTGGTTTGTACTGAAAGTTGTCCATGTAAATAAGAAACCTAGCTCAGAGCAGATTACTTGGTAGTGGTATCGTTGACTCCTAAAGAGGATTTTTCATTCTGTTATTATAATGGAGTTAGTCCCAACAACTCTGAAAAGGAACTACTGCTCAGAGTCTTTCGTTTCAGTTTTGGCATCACTTTCCCAGTGAGCCTGTCCCACGGGAAATTTCTGAGTGAAGCGTGTGTGTTTTTAATGCTCTTCATGACATAATTAGGTCAAATACGATAAGGTCAATTTTACTTACACTGACTAAAGTTAGAAGTAAATGAAGAATGACTTTCGAGAAGTGTCTAACCTCACAAGTGAATCAGATCTGGATGGAAATGCTCTCTGCTTTATATCTGATAAGAGGTGCCAGGGGACTGAAAAAGGCTGCTCAGGCATTTATGGTCAAATAAATAAAGCACCATGTAGTGTATCATACACAATCAGCACTAAGCTATCAGCATAGAGTTCGTAACGGAAAGCAATCAAAGATAGCTGTAAATCAGGAAGACACAAGTAAGGGTTAGGGCTAAAATGGATTTCAGTAAACCAGTTTCATTTTGCCATCTGCTGAACACAAAACGCAAGGCGGTAAACCACAAACGCAGGGAGCCAGAAGAGAGCAATTTGCTTGGGATCATTTCCTGTGAATTTTATTTACTGCTAGAGGGGGAAAAAAAAAAAAGATTCCTGTAAGGAGATCAATTCAGTTTCGTGATTACAGCAGGACAGTGCTTGTACAAACATACCTGTGACAAAACAAGTGGATACATTTGCAGAAGAGAATTAGAAGACACTAAACCAAACTTGGATGTATCTTTGTGTCTTTACCACTAGCGGAACATGCTGTTTCTGAGCAACCATGAACTAAAATTTCTGGAAGAATTTAAATCTAGATTATCTTGATAATGTACTTCATAGAGAGCTAAAATCTGACTCTTAGTTCACTGTCATCATTATTAATGACCGCACACCTAATAGACGTTACTTGTTTCATCATCGCAGTGTGTTTCTCAGTGCATTTTGCAGTGGCTTCTTATGTAAAACAAGTACTTGCAATTTGGCCTACTGTATGCAAAGCACTTTTGACCTCTGTGCATCTGTCAAGACATAGTGGTGAGGTTTGCTGGACAGTTTATTCCCTTTCCTCATGCTATGCTTGGCAAGCATAGTTCCAGTGCAGCAGAGTGACTGTTCTTTCTTCTGTCCAACAGAAATCGTTCCCAGAGATCTGAGGATGAAAGACAAGTTCTTAAAGCATTTAACAGGTATGTTTTAATTTTGCATTGGTATCCATCGTTTCACGTACATACCATAAGCCGCACTCTTCTTCCTGTGAGCTGTGCTGATTCATAACTTACTTTTTCTTTATATTTCAGGTCCACTCTACTTCAGCCCAAAATGTAGTAAACATTTTCATCGGCTTTATCACAATACAAGGGACTGCACCATCCCAGCATGTAAGTGCCAAACCCAGAGACTTTCATAAAACAACAGAAAACTCTAGAATTGAATAGCTCTGTGAGGTACTAGTAGTAATACAATGTTAGAGTACATTCTTTGCAGTGAAGAATTGGGAGTGCTCTAAAATGTCTTAAGTACGCTCAACAGCGTTGCGAGAACAGCATCGGCATTACAGTGAGGAAAACACAACTCTCTCACTGCAAATACACTGTGTAGAACGGCTGTCAACGCTGCTTCCTTAGGTGCCAATGTGTGTGTCTCTCTGGTTCCAAACCAAAGGTGTTTGCTTTTCATAGAAACGTATGACTCCTCTCACAAACCTCTAGTATCTAATTTCTGGTGCTGCAAATTCAAGATAGGATCAGAAATCCAAGTGGGACTACTTGCTTTTCATTGATTATTTATATAGAACATATTCGATAGGCATTTTATATTTTGACTGTTGAGTTACCAACCTACCAGTGATACTGACAGTGAACCTTTGCAATCCTTGTCTTCAGTGAATTACAAAATTATTAACTTCCCAAGGCTTAGTTAAAAAAAAAAAAATGTGCTGATGGACACATTATATCACATCAGTGTTCACAGCACAGAGAATAAAAAAAAAAATAATCAAACATTGACATTTATCAGTCAGTAGATGTGACTCCAGATTCATGCTGAGGTGGACCTGTTGAGTAAGCAGATGCTATTTTAGTACAGCCATTTCAGAATGGAAGCGCACTTTATTTTACTTGTCTGAGGTCAACCAGTTGGGTCAGTAGCAGAGCTGGGAATAGAAACAAGAGTTACAGATTCCAAGTTTCAAGTATTAATAAATACTTCAGCCCAATATATTTCAAAGGCATATTTGGTAAGAATTGCAGACTTTTTCCCTATTTGTAAGGCTTCAGATTAGGAATAGCTTCAAAAGATAAGGATTTATAGATAAAGGCTAACCAGATCACGTTCCGTTTACATGGATGGAGATGGAAGTTGTTCATAAATAGTCTGTTTTGAATAAGCAAATGGTCATATTACCTTTTTTATAAGGATCACAACACAAACATAATTTGACTCAGTACTAATGAGTACTCCAAGTTGTGAAGCTAAAAACTAATCGGTCTTGAATTAGCCTTTTCCTCCTAACAGGTGACATAACCCCAACATGTCTGGATAATGGAGGATAATTTGTATGAATGGCAATTATAGTATATCTATGCTGTGAGCTAGGGATTGTTAACATTGCATCTCTAGGAAACATTAGAGGTAGTTACTCATTAATGAAATAACACTTAACGAAGATCAACATCAGTCACCGGACTGGACTGACTAGCACCGCCTCAAAGTAACTTTCTTCTAGGAAAATGAAGTAAACTTGCTTTGATTCTTCATGCACAGTATGATGTTACTTTTTGGTAATATTCTGATTTCAGGATAGTGTTAATTTTATGTGGAAATTCAAAGGCTAATTAACAAAGAAATTAAAAGCATCTACAATGCTGCAACACAGGGGTAGTCAGTACAAAACCATTTAGTTGGCATACCTTCTAGTACTGTGTACAGCATAGGAGCATTGGCACCTAAAAAGTAATTTACTCTGCTGTCTGTCCATAACCAACTTTCAGAAAATTTGCTTTCAGTTTGCCATGTTAAAGAAAAAAAAAATAATTCTTGATTAATTTCGTAGTTTTGCATTGCTTCTGCCCCTTATTATGAATGAGAATGCAAAAGGTACCTAAAATCAGAACTACTAACAATAGGACTACTGTAGAAAAAACAATTTTACTAGTTTCAAGAGGAAACTTGATACAGTTATGAATGAATTTGTATGATGTGGTCACCTACTTGGGCTGGACTTAACATTCCTACGACTAGGAGATGTTATTTGTCTAATTTAACAGTTTTCCCAGGAAGAAAATTTATTGGAGAGTTGCATTACTTAATATTAAGTAGATAGACTTGCTCACTGAGGGCTGGATTTCAAAGATGGATCAGCACTACTTATTCTTCCTTTAGTATGGAACTGCTACAATCACGTTTAGATCCCACATTTAAGCACAGACACAGATGTATACATTTTCACACATACATACACTTGGAGAGCCTCCAAGCACATTCATGCTACTTTTTTATAGATAGTATGTATGCAGAAGCCAGTTGCACAGTTACATGTGCCATTAGACACGGCTTTCAGTTGCACAATTTTTACACCCTCCATTTCTAAGTCTAAGGAGCTCATTTCGACACCGTTGCAAACTAAGGTGTTCATTGAACTTTATTACAATGTAATTTGCACACCATTATCAAATTTGATTTTTAAAGGCAAAATTGGTTACCTTAGTAATCTATTTATGCTTGGTTTTTTTTGATGACAGACTACAAAAGATGTGCCAGGCTTCTTACTCGGTTGGCAGTAAGCCCAATGTGCATGGAAGGATAAAGGTAAGCTTTTTTGTAGCTGTAATGACATTCTGCTGCATAGCAAAGCAGTGGATTTTGTATTTCATACATGAAAATTCATGGGAGTGTAACAGCAATTGTCTTTTGGCTAAGGTATTCCCCTTTCAGAGTACTTGAAGTAACTGGCTTAATCTGGCAAATACTGGCAATAAATAAAGGGTACCTCCTACTGGAAGTCATTATATAAAAGTCCATGTGCATCAGCTGTGAATTATTCATAGCAGCATACAGTTAGCAGATAGTGAATTTGTTGTTACAGAACAAAACACAACAGCTGTAGCTTATTTTTCAAGAGTTGACTCCGTACACAATAGCCCGTGTTGGAGGCAGCAGCCCTTTTGTGCGTGCAGCTGTAGATCTACGGTGTACGTTTTAGCACGAGTTAATATATACATAACTATACACACGAAAGCTTTATAAATGCAGACAGGTTGCAGGTGCTTTTATAGTAATTCAACTATAATTCATTAGTAGTATTGATAAATGACTTTAAGCTACTTGGATTTCTTGGGATTCTCATTATGTTCACCTCTCATGTCTCTGAGACATTTCCTCCCTTTTTGCCTAGATATACCACTAATTCCCACAAATACTTTGGGAATTTCACCACGCATCGAAATAAAACCAAACCACTGACCAATCAACCAAAAAAACTATCTGTATTTCTAGAAAACTCGAAAGCACTAGTTTACGTTCTGTCCTCAACCCTTTACCTGAGACAAAAATGTGACCTCTAACAAAGGAACGTGTAATAAACTGTATGGGTTTGTTAGTAACAAATGCTGTCAAACCGACATATCTTAACTTTGTGACAAATTATACATCTGGTGGGGAGAGTCAGTGAGAAAAAGCATTTTAGTTTCTTTTTTGAAAGCATTGACACTGTTTTGAATGACATTCTCGCAAGCCAGCTAGGGATATATGATCAAGATAAATGTAAAAATGGCTGGAAAAAATATACAAATAAGTTATTACAGCTTCACTGTCAAACTGGAAAAATGTATTGAGGGGAGTCACACAGCTTCATTATGGGTATGGTATTGTTCAATATTTTCATTAAAAACTTGGGTGATAGAAGACAGTGTATTTATGGGTGACAGTAGTGTAGGAGAAGCAACCGTGATAGAGTACAATCTTGAAATTGAAAATAACCTTGGAAAATTAGCTGAATAGTCTAAAAACAGGATAAAATTTAAAGAAAGAGCAGAATTGCGAAGTCACGCAGGAGTAATCAACTGCAGAAATACATGGCAAGTTGTGAACAGAAACACAGATAGAAAATGTAGGGGTTGTAGCAGATCACAAACTAAGTATGTCAACCATGCCACTCTTGAAAAAAGACAAACAACATACTGGAATTTATAAACAGAAACACTGTTTATAAAACACCTGAAGTATAATCAGTGTTGCTAGAATACTGTATTTAATTAAGGACACCATGAAGACATACAGGAGCTTCTTTTAAGAGGCCAAAGAAGAACATGGATGAGCAAAGACCTGGAAAACTCAATTTACAGGACAACTAAAAAGTATTTGGATTATTTAATCTAAAGAAAAGACAACTGCAGGAAAACGTGATGGAGCTATTCAGTTTCATAAAAAGTGGCTGTAAGCCATTCTCTCTATCCAGTGTGGATAAATAAGACAATTTAATTTCACAAGAAGAGAGAATTCTAGCAAGACATCAGAAAATACTTTTCTAATAGCAAGGGCAGAGAAATACATTAATCAGCATCCTGATTTAATGCTAAATTCCTCAACATTTCTTTAAGTATCTTCTGCCTGACTTCCTAAAATAAATTTAAACTAGCCCAGCTTCAATGCAGAATGTTTCTAACACTCAAAGCTGTTACATTACTTCTTGTCTTAATTTGAAACATGCAGACATAGAGTGGAATCTTATCCATACATGGTGTGTTCAGGGATGGAATTGTGGAAACAACTGCATATAGTATTAGGACAAATAAAAGTTAGCAAATAGATAAATTCTTTGATCTAACTAGGAGAAATGCCAGGGATTCAACCTATCAATTGTAAAATCCAGAAAGCAAGAAGCAAATTAGTTGTTACACAATGATATTCATCTGCAAAAGATAGGTGAATAATGTTATTACAAATACTAATAAGCAGATACATCAGCATAGAGAATTCTTTTCTCCTTTTCCTTAGAAAGTTCTATCTGTATCTTTACATTCTATCATGTAACCACTAAACTCATAGTATGAAGGAACAGTAACTAAAATAGTTCACATCTCAAGCTGGGAATCTATTTAGAAGTTCATCTCATTTTGGCAATCAGCTCCTTTGCTCAACTAGGAGGCATGTTTCAATGTGAGTAACAAGCCTCCACTTTGGTTATTCTCCACATAGGCACAAATCATGGATAGCATCAGCACTCTTAAGCAACCTCTATTCCTCTATTAGCAGAAAGGAAGACTATTCTCTACCACACATGCCTTGAGATCCACAGGTGGCTACATAACATTAAGCATCCTTCCTCCTTAAAGCTTTACCACTGCATCAGTTCAATTTGTGCAAGCCATCCCCTCTCACAGAAATGTATAATGCAGGCTTTACTTGTTTTCCCCTGTTTCATGGGCTGTGGAAAAATGGGTTCTTTTTGTATTTCCCTCTTACCAAACCATCCTTTTTCCCCACAAAGTGTAGTTATCATTAGTCCAAGGTGTTTTCAGGAAGATTCAACGTTTTGAACATAGTACCACTTATACATAGCAAGACAAGATTTCAAAGCCATTTCTTATTTAAGATGGCTCTCTAGTGTAAGAGAGTTTATTTACCGTCCGGCAAGAGGTAAAAACTTCTGGTTTCTGTCATAAGGCTACTAATTAGTCTGAGCTTTAGAACTGATACTAACTCCTTAATATTAGATAACAAAATTTTGTTACGTGATACTACTCCGCAAAGGTCTAAATTTGACTGTTTATATTAATTGTAACCACAAATACATTCTTAATTATCCATACCTACTTTCCCCCCCCTCCTCCCCCCAGCAAATTACATTTCCTGTTTTGCACAGTAGCTGATTTTCATTTCATTGGAGGTTTATGGGTAGGCTGGGCTATAGATGAATTATTGGTTTTTATACTTTGGAAAACTAGTAGTTTTGGTGCATTTTTCAGATCCACAGACATCTGTCCATGTTTAGAAATCAATTTGGAGGAAAGAAAAAAACAAACAAAAAAATATTTGTTTTATATTTGTACTGCGAATGCATTTTGGACTATCCTAGCTTTAAAGCACCCAAGACATTGAAACTCAGTGTTAAGATCAAACAAGAAAATAAGATGCAAAAACAGGAATTAGGCATCTGTTACTATCACAGTGCATACCTAAGGGGGGTGTGTGATAAATGTGTCTTATGGAGCCTTCACTTTTTCTCACTTATCCTACACATCTGTAACAGGGCTCCAACTTTTTTTAGAGCTTTTTTTTTTTTTTTCACAGTCAGCAAGCCAGGCTGCGTATCCTGGTTGCCACCAGCACTGTCTCTGACTAGTCCTATTCTGTAACACCTTCTCATGTTCAACACACAGCTGTGCTAGAGTGCTGTCCTTGATGCTCCTTTTTGTTCTGTCAGTCTAGTTTTTCTCCCAGTTCCCCAATAGTTCCCATACTCCATGCTTGCTTTGCTCCACCCCATGCAAATACATCCAACAACCATTATGTTGTCCATATCTGCAGCAGGTAAGAAATGTCAGCAATAAGATTCCTGAAGTCTTTACCTAAAGTTCTCAATTCAGATCTTGTGATGAATCTGAAAATCTGTCCTCTTTGACAGCATTTGTCGCAATCACTTTGGCTACAGTCATACAGATTTTACTGCTTTTGGTTTTGAAAACTGCAGGTGCTACTGTTGGTGCCCTCCCTTTTCCATTAACTGTTCTTTAAATGTTTGCTAGAGACCAACACTGATCCCGTAATGTATGCTTAAAACCTCTTTGTACCATAAGGAGTAGTTCAAGGACTAAGGACTGCATTATCATGTACGATTACATACTTCCGTTTTGAAGATTTCTTCTAGTTACTGTTACTGACAAGTATTTATGTATTTTTAACTTAAAAATGTAAGTTTCTACAGTTATTTCAAATTAACAAAATAAGACTAGTGACACAGTTTTACACTAATAAATAGAAGATGAGTGCAACTAGTAGGAATCAGGCTAAGCAGAGAAAATGAGCTATATATACTATAAAAAAAGTGTATGAAAAAAATCTACCAGTTACTTGTTTCCTAGAGAAGCAGATATAATTATCAGTGTTTAAAGGAAAAGCACCAGAAACAGTATTTCTTGCTTAAAGTATATGACAGGGTAAGCATAATTATACATACATATGAAGCTCAAAAATTCTTTATAAAATTCGCAATAAGCTAAAGCACACTAATAACTGAAATTTCCTTTGGAACTCAGAAAAAAAACCTGTGTAAACTCAAGATACATTGATCGTACTAGTAATATACATTTAAAAAAGCTGAAAATACAAGAAAAACTTGGAAACTTTAAATACCTAACAAGGAAACTGAAATTTCACACTAAATATATCATTCCTGTATACCATTATATCCATTATTTCAAGCTATTCTTAAACCAAAGTAATATCTGGGTTCTTATGTTTCGCTTCAAGTGTTTTGTTATCAAGGGACACAACAGCCCTTAATTGCTTTCTCTCTTACACAGTTTCTTACTCAAACTAACACCGAGCGCACTCAAGAAACATCAGATGCTTTCATTTCATACAAGTGAAGGTGGAATTAAGATGTGGGGTTTGTGTATTGTTCAGTGAAGGCAGACCCTTTGTTTCTAGAAAGTATAGCTTGATCCATTATATACAGCTCCCCATCACATGTTCAGTCACCTCTGCTTGGTGACAAGAAGTTTTCCCAAGGTAACTAATAAAAGACTTACCAGAACTATTGCTCTGAATTAAATAGGCTGGCAGAGTACATGGTTACTAGTGCCA